CAGACAATTGCTATGTATTGGCAGTCGTCAAATACGGCTTCTGACCTCCCCGATTCTGTCTTTCGATTTCTCTTGGTGGGTACGAATTATATTAAAAGGTGCTACTGGTAAAAGCATTGTCAAACACTTAATACTTGTACAATCTTCACTGTGCTGAAACAACAAGTGAACGCAATGAAATCAACAAGCTTTTACAGGCTCATGATAAAGTTATTGGATCAAAAACAAAACATGATAGAAAACTATAATTCAACACCGTCATGAAAAACTCATGCAAACGTCCGGGATGCCGTTTTGCTGTCACAACTGGTATGCAGTGCGACAACTGCAAAGGTTGGTTACACGAAGCATGCGCAAATCTGACAGCAACTGCTTACAACAGACTCAGCAAGCCAGACCAAAAGTGGGTATGTGTCACGTGCAGCACGGACGCAGTAGTCTTGCTGAGTAACATCATTGTCCTACTGACAGGTCTTCGGAACAAGTTGTCAGTTAACTTGGAAAACGATAGTAAAAAAACCGATATACAAACAAGAGCGTGCAACGGACCCAAAAATAGGGATGTCGATAGGTATTCCATCGATGGAGCATCCATCAACACTAACGACGACGTGTCGAGGCTCAGTACCATCATTACGTCGACGGTACTAGACTCCCTAGGCAAACTCGGGTCTCCCAGCTCAGGGTCCCCGAACACAACAGTGGTTCCCAAAAACCCTGCAGGTGACTCGACCCACGTTAAGAGAGCCCAAAAGAACCAGGCATCACCGCCTAAGCCGAGCAACCCAAGTGTTGCTGCACAGAAAATAACTGGTGATTTAGTCGCACAGTCTACCCCCAAGACTGTTCGTCCGGTCAATAAAGAGCCCAAGATTCATAAACGCACACTGACCTCCAAACAACAAGTTATTAAACCTGAACCCATCATGAAACCTGGTAAATTAACAACAGTTCGTGACGATTCTCTCATTATCATGAACCTCGTTAACAATCCTGACCTTCCTCTCAGTCTGCAGGACAAAAACGACAGGATGCTGTGGGGTGAATTGAATAAGAAGCTCGAACTTCCTAGAATAGAGCCTTTGACGGTCACCCGGCTCACTCGAGGAAAGGATTCTAAGCATCTAAATCACCCGAGGCTTCTCCGAGTAACACTTAAGAATGCTACCGACGTAGAGGACGTCTTGCTAGCAAGTCACTTGCTGAAATCAGATGGTAACGTAAGAATATTGCCCGACATACCGTACTCTGAGCGCAATATCATACGAAACGTCCCTAAAGAATCTCGCGAGAAGTTTTTCCGCGGAAGAAACATAATTGTCCAAGGTATACCGGAAAATGTAGACCCTACTCAATCAAATTCTGACATCAGGGAACGAAAATTCATCAAACAGTCCTTGAGGCTCAAACACATACTGACTCAGCATGTGACGAGACTAGCCAAGAAGGACGGTGATCTTAGACCCCGTCTAATGAAAATAACCTTCCCATCTTCCCACATGGCGGCTGCAGTTCTGGAAGCATTTCGTGCTAATAGACGTCGATTGCCACCTGGAATCCACATGCACCCGGATAGGCCATACGAAGTTAGGACCAAGAACAAAGGCAAGTTGGAGCTGACCATTCCACTTGTGGACTGTCTAAACGATAAAAAAACGTGTAAAGGACAGGGCCTACCACCTCGGCAAACCTCATATCGGTGGGCTACCTGTCCATTCACATAAGGTTCATACAGAAAAACAGGACGAAGGTCACGCGTTCCAAATTGAAAGCATAAACTGCTTATACATGAACGCCGCGAGTCTACCAAACAAACTGGATGAACTACGTGAACTTAGCAACGCTAACAAGGCCCATCTGATAGGAATATCTGAAACCTGGATATCTTCTCAGTTCTCGGATCAAGAGTTAGCATTACCTGGGATGACTTTGTTCCGCAACGACAGAAAAAAAGGAATTGGGGGCGGAGTAGCCATATACATAAGCTCTTGCTTGGAGGTGCACCAGGTTCACAACCTCGAGTTTAACAATCTTGAGGAATCCATATGGTGCTCTGTAAGGTTGTCTAGTACTTCCAGGTGTCTAGTCGGAGTCATTTACAGGAAGCCAACTGCCGACACCGAGTACTATAGTCGTATGCTGGAAGGACTATCCTGCTCTATCCGTCTCGGTTTCACACACATCCTGATTCTAGGGGACTTTAATCTCCCTAGAGTCAACTTCGCGGAACACACGTACACTGGAGGCGACAACTCAACTGAAGCTCGGTTCTTCAACCTCACCGATAACTTGGGCTTATATGAAAATGTGAGGTCGGCAACTCGTTGGAGAAACAGTCAGACACCATCGCGCTTAGACTGTGTATTCACTAACGAATAATTCCTAGTCGACAACCTCTCAATCCTGGCTCCTCTGGGAAAGAGCGATCATCCCGTCATAGCCTTCAGTTTTGTCATCAAAACTAAGCTAAGGTATCCCAACAATAATCTGCGTTGGAATTTTAAACGGCTGAATGTGCCAGCTCTACATGACTATCTACAACAGGTGGATTGGGATGTTCACCCTCAACTTGATGTGGATGGTCATTGGGACTTCTTACTGCACACGCTCTTATGTGCTATAGACCATTCAGTTCCTCAAACGGTTCCCAAAAGCTGCAAGCCACCTACAGTAATCAAGAACCGTACCCTTCGCCTGCTAAGCCGCAAACGGCACTGCTGGGCGGAATACAAACGAACTAATAACGATGGAGCGTATAGGCAATACAAACATATCAGGAACATATGCACGAAGGCTATAAGAGAAGACAGGCTTCAGTACCAAACAAAGCTTATGGACAAATTCGCCTCTAACCCTAGAAGCCTATTCCGTTATGCAGCCTCTCTTCGTCAAGCCAAAACAGGAGTTTCTCAACTGCTAGGTCTTAACGGCCCGACCAACAACGATGGCGACGCCGCTAACCTTCTGGCGGCACATTACTCTCAAACAATTCAACCGGCTGACATCAACTTTATTGACGACAGTTTCATCTGCAATTCCACAGGACTTTCTGAAGTGGACCTAAGCGCTGACTTGGTGTTCCGGAAATTGCAGCACTTAAGACTTGACACTTCTCCTGGCCCGGATATGGTTCATCCTGCCATACTGAGGGAGGCAGCCTCAGTCCTGGCAACGCCGCTTAGCGTGATGTTTTCACACTCGCTTAGCCGAGGCGAATTACCGGAAAATTGGAAGTTGGCTCACATCACACCAATTTTCAAAGGTGGTCGACGCAATGAACCTTCAAGTTATCGGCCGGTGGCTCTTCTGTCATTACCTTCAAAACTCATGGAGTCCCTGATATGCGACGGTTTAAATGACTATCTACTGTCCTTACATTTCTTCTCACCCCAACAGCATGGTTTCAGGAAGGGTTACTCTTGTATAACCAACCTGCTGACTGCGGTGGACAGATGGACAAGCATCCTCGATTGCAAGGGAAAGGTTGATGTCATTTACCTTGATTTCTCTAAAGCTTTTGATAAAGTTAACCACTTGTGTCTTATCAACAAGCTCAAACGACTAGGTATCAAACCACCTCTAATCGATTGGCTTACTTCATACCTAAAAAATCGACACTTTAAGGTTAGGGTTAATTTCACTTTCTCTCAGGCTATGGAATGTCCTAGTGGGGTCCCCCAGGGCTCAGTACTAGGGCCTCTTCTCTTCTTGATCTACATAAATGATCTTCCTCAACAGGTAATGTCAGACTTACTACTTTTTGCCGACGACGTGAAACTTTGGAGAGAGATACGCAACCAAGACGATACACAGGCACTTCAGGAGGATTTGACGCGACTTCAAAGTTGGGCAGACGATAACGGACTTACCTTTAACACTTCAAAGTGTAAAGTAGTCCATCTGCGACATGTCGCAAACTACAGTTACAACTTAGGAAACTCATCTCTAGTAGTATCCCAAGTCGAAAAAGATTTAGGAGTCCTGGTGCCCCATGACTTAAAGTCTTACGCTAACTGTGACAAAAATGCCTTCCGAGCAAACCTTGCACTGGTAATGTTGAGGCGCATTTTTGGCCAGTTTGACGGAAGAACTTTCCACACAATCTTCAATAGTTTCATCCGTCCCCATTTAGAGTACGGAAACATAGTACTCCCCCCTCACTCCAAAAGGACAAGGTCACTTTGGAGCGTATCCAACGGCGAGCCACGAAATCAGTTCGAGGACTCAAATCTAAGCCTTACGAAGAACGCCTCCATTCACTAGACCTTTACCCATTAGAGTATAGGCGTCTTAGAGGTGATTTATTAATGGCTTATAGTATTCTTAACACTTCTGGACATCCTCTTAAACACCTACTTAAGCTTAGTTCGAATAATAACCTAAGGGGTAACACCCAGAAACTGGAAACACAACATAGCAAGACGGAATGTAGACACAACTTCTACTCCTAAAGAGTTGTCAAAAGCTGGAATTCGCTGCCGGCCGAGCTAGTCCAAGCGACTTCTCAGGAGTCCTTCAGGAGGCAACTTGACCTATTCTTAAGGACCAAGGACAGCATCACACTATGATTTACCAATTTCTTTTCCTCTTTTATTGTTAACATACCTAGGTTCCTGCCTGGAGGATTTCGTGATCCCCTGCTACTAGACACGGAGGCCTGTTAAGCGAAAGCTTCTTCTATTCCGTCCACAACCATTTGAACAGGAAAAACCCTCATCAGTACACAGGAAAAACTAGTTGCGTCACAGGTGCTTACGACCAGGTTCCAACAAACCATGGAGTCACAGAATCCTTGATTGTTCACTGAGACGAATTGCCATATCAGTAGAAGACAAGAGCCGAAATGAATCTCTATACCATAGTAAGTCATGATTCAAATGAAAAATACGACTGCGTTTAGATAAATGAAATTCAACAGGGGGTATAAAATGTATCACCTCCGATCTTGCTATTGACACTGCTGAGTGGCATGTTTAAAACAGGAACCTACACCCAAGGCTATGTCGGCCGTTGCAGCTCAAAGCGATGGAGTAGCCAAATTGCAACAGGCTCGCACAGCAGCTCTAGCAAAAATAGAGGAAGCCCGCAATCGTAATTGTTAACGCAAACCTAATATTTACATATAGGGAGGGCAAAGCGACTCAAGGAAGCTAAAGGTGAAGCAAATCTGGAAGTCGATGCTTTCAAAGCACAACAGGAAGCTCATTATAATTCACTTGAGCTACAAGTATGTTAATAGCTTCTATTCACGTACAATCCATAGGTTAACTCTCAGTATGGTCCTTATGAGGAGGTGTGTCGTCAAATGACAGACGAACAGTTAAAGTCAATGCAACGTTCGTTCCAGTCAAACAAAAATGCAGCTTTGCAGTTATTATTGTCTAAAGTCCTAGATGTAAAGCCTGTCGTCCATGTCAACTTTGGTTTTAAGAGTCCGGGGTCGTAGTACGTGTATGTCCTTTTAAAAGCAGAATTAGACCAAGTGATTTACAAGCATAATATACTTCCAATTGTGATTAGTAATCTAATTATTTTAACCACTATAATAGACGTTAATTTGCTTTTCATCGTTTTTTTGATAAATCAGGCGTTGTAGAAAAGCATACAAGACTGCTGTATTTGACCTAGTACGTGTTTACATATGTATTCCCAGTATTAGTCTTGGTAGGTCATTAAAGCGCATGATCCTACACAGATAAACCCATTGGTACTGCACCATGCTACCGAAATTAAATGGCTTCAAGCAACCACGACATTTTTATACTAACTTCTGGGAGTTATGGACGAAGACTGCAGATCAAAATGAAAACCGATAGGAATCCTAATGCATCTGATCTGTCACTCCCTGGAGGGTTCTGGCCATTAATCTCTAGGTAGACTCCGCTGCTGACACTCATTTATCCAGAGAAATATAAGCATACCCTTTAGCCCTGCGACGAGTCACGAAAATTTATGGGCTATTCCTAGTGGTCGTCAAGATGTTAGACCACAAAGTTTCCGAAAATTCGATGAGGTAGTATTCTTAGATGACTCTAAATGCAGTGTAATTAAGCTTGATGACCTTTGCAAATGATCATCAATAATGACATGATCTAGCCGTGAGTCGTACGATCAACACACTAATTGATTAGGTTTTCAATTACTGTGCTGTGTAGGTTATGGACCTAACTCCTTGCAACTAGTAATTATCTGACTCGTCCCGTAGTATATTTCCGAAATCGTGGGGCTGGTTAGAAAGATATATGGTTCGTTTGTAGAGGTTAGTAAAAGCGTGGTTATACGTTGATCGATGTGATGAAATTTGCAGTCTCAACCTTCCAGATTGAGTATTGCAGACCATGCGTCTAGTTTTGGTGTATCCAATAACCGAGTCTAGTAATAATCATCTCATCTCACTGGGATGTTAGTGCAACAGGTATTGAAGATCTTTACGTGTGAATCCCATTTCTATATTTTGGTTTCAATCATACCGTACCATTCTAAACAATGCACTTGTTAGTATCTATACTGTCCAAATAAACTTCACGCGACTGATGGGAAATAAAAAAAGTCTGAGGCAGTTCAGAGTGATGTCATTCAGATCAAAGTACTGTGAGAAGGCTGTGTCAATTTTACTCTATAATGGCTTCATGCACTTATTGGTATAAAGAAATAGGAATGTCGTCTACATAAAAGCAGACATAAATTATATCGACTATTTTTACTATTCATGATAGCCTGTTATTGCTTTGTACCACCAAACACAGTAGCTATACGTCTAAACTCCTTTTCTTTTGCATTGAACCGACCACCTAGTGCACTAATTAGTGAGAAAAGATAACAACAAACATGTGACTGTATGGAACTTAGTAAGTCGGACGGTTACTCGGATTATAGATAGCTTCTTTGACTTTTGAAATCAGCAAACCTCAGTTAACTTCGCTAGTTGTGCCAGTCAGTACAAATGCACATAGCGTTCGCCTTGATACAATTCGTCTTCAGAAACAGTTAGGCTGTTTAGTCTCTCGAATGCTTCTGAGACTCAAAATTGGTTCGTCCAGTCCTCTACAAAAACCACTGGTGTCTTCCCCCTTCGAATCCTTTGCTGTAGTTCACGTGATAAGTGGAGAACTCAGGGTTAGTTATGAAGCATTTCAACCCACTAACAAGGTATATCCATTATACAGAATCCTCCACCCCCGGGCAGATTTATAAGTGATATTTTCACCCACTACTATATGATTATTCAGTATATCTCCCGAATTCCTCAGTTTAAGTACCTTACGTCAAATGTCCAACATCTGAATCAAATGTTAGGAATTCAAGCCCATTATCGATACCGCACTACTTTATTTCCGATTCTAAAATAGCTTGAAACTTATGATATGATAACTTGATACAGAGTCTAGTATGAATGCCCTTCCTACAGCCCTTTATGATGTAATCGGGACCCAAGGACTCAAAGACCTGATTACATCTTTTTAATAACACAGATCAAAGGTTTTGCGTGAAACCCAGTTAAAATAATGGGTATATTCATAATAAATATCAATGTGTTCGCAAACTATTTTAGGATGCGATGCTACCCACGATTATTTTTTCTCCAAATAAAATAAGCAATACAACTGGTTGAATATAACCGAATGACGCTTATGTCAAAGTTAAATAAAGCATAAAATCTTAAAGAAATATGTTCGTTATTCTCTCGATATGTATATAAGCTGAAAATCACACTAGGCACCTGAAACTGTAGTAAGTTGATGTCTCAATTATAAGTAATTGTAATAAGCTACTTTGAAGCACACTCCAAGAGAATCATATTTCAATTAAATGTAATGATGACGAAAATTCTGTGCGAATTTTGTACAGGACTGATAATCTCTTGCACAAGATGGATAAACTGAATCAGCAAATTGTTGGAAGCGTCGATTATAAATATCCTATCTCTTAAGCACTTAATAAAATATCTGCATGACTAAAATGAGGCAGCTTCTATGTATTTTACTGACTACAGACTTTGGGTTTCAGGATGAGATGATAAAGGGTTTGTGATAATCGAAGCAATTGATTATAGTCAGTCTAAATGTACCGAGCCCCCGAATGCCCTGGTACGGCCGAGAGTGGGGTGAGTCCGCTCTTCCTCTCGAAATACTCTCACACGGCCGCGCGTATACAGCCTCTGCCAGGGAAGTCCTACTCATTGCCTTCTCGTGGCGGGGGTGTTGTTTACGAAAATGAGAGGACGAAAAGCGAATGTCCGGCGCTTTAACCGGATCACAAACCAACGGTGCACATGGGCTCCAGTATCCTGCGGGAAGAAATGGCGTATGAACCAATATTTGGTCACCGGCTACCATGGGATTGCATCTCCTTACGATGCTCCACTGCCTTGTGGGTTAGACCTTTAGGTCAAAGGCTCGGGGTGTGGCCCCCTAAGATAACCACCTGCTTCGGTTTGGGCACCCGGGCAGTATCACAGCCCACACACAAACGATGAACTCTATGTCTATGGCAACTGCTTTTCTCGCTCCGAAAAACAATCAGTCGATTCAAATAATTATCATTACTATTATTGTCATTATTAATACTATTATTATTACTATTATTGTCATTATTATTATTATTACTATTATTACTATTATTATTATTATTATTTTCCACATTATTCACCCTCCTTTATACTTATACAGCGGCTCGTCTTTGGTGGAAATCCGACTGTATCTAAACGTTCTCGAGTCACTGTCCGGTTGAAAATTGTATGTTACCATCGAAAATGAGTACTGAAGCAGTTTTTCTGAAACCACGTGCACCATTCAAACTGGCTGCCTTCAACGTTCGCACACTTATGCAGGTTGGTCAACAGATAGGGCTGGCTATGTCTTTGGAAAGTCTTAATATTGATGTTTGTTGTCTATCCGAGACCCGTATTCAAGACTCTGGCGAAGTACTACAAATTCGCTCTCCATCTGTCGCTTCGAAAAGCTTGTTTTACGTGCGCTTATCCGGGGACCCTGTGGCATCTTCGTCTGGTCTTGCTGGCGTTGGTGTCGCACTAAACGCTAGAGCTGAGGCAGCTCTAATCGATTGGATCCTTAGTAACAGTCGGTTATGTGCTGCTAGATTAGAAAGTTCCATTAAAGTGAAAAAAAATCGGCGTGAGAAACGATGTCTTTTCGTCATCTTCGCATATGCCCCGACAGATTGCAGCCCGGATGCAATCAAGGATGAATTTTACCACCAGTTATCTGTTCTCCAGAAAGTGCGTTCGACAGATATTGTAGTACTGGCCGGAGACTTGAATGCTCAGGTCGGGCGTCTAGGCACAGAAGAGAGTCGTTTAGGTGGCCAATGGGGACTCGTTGGTCGCAGGTCAGATAACGGGGACCGTCTACTGCAACTGTGCACAGACCACAACCTGTTTCTGGCTAGCACTAACTTTCGGCGCAGTCATCGCCGATGTGCCACCTGGCGTCCTCCCTCTGCATCCCAAGCCTGGACTCAGATTGATCACATCGCGATCAGCTACCGCTGGCGTGGTTGTGTAAAAGACTGCCGCTCCTTTTGGAGTACCTATCTGGACTCTGACCATGCCTTGGTCTGCGCCAATCTTGCCTTACTTTTCAGTGGACAACGAAGTGACCGCCAGCAAAGGATTGATATTAGCAAGCTGGTTGCAACTTCTGTTGCAAATAAGTATCGAACCGAGCTAGCCTCTAGGCTAGCTACCACTCCACCGAAAAGTATAGATGAGCATTGGTTGCAATTGCATGACGCCATGAAAATGGCGGGAACAGTCAGTTGTGGGTTTGCGAAACGTCCCGCTTTTAAGCACTGGGTTTCTTCTGGTTCCTTACAACTCATTAAAGCCCGTCGGTCTACTCCGGGTGACCGTGAGTTTGACCATAAACGAAGGATGTTACGTAAAGAAATTGGGCAAAGCTTGCGTAAGGACCGAGAAGCCTGGTGGTCGAAGCGTGCTAATGAGCTGGAAGCAGCAGCTGCATCTGGTAATTACCGGAAGCTCTTCCAACTCATCCGAGCCACTGGCAGCAAGAAGTATGGTGTGAGTGAAACAATCTGCGAGGATGATGGGATGCCAATCACTAACATCCATCTACGTCTTGGACGATGGGCGGAATTTTTCGAAGGGCAGTTCAACTGGCCTGCTGCTCCGGCAACATCGGTCAGACTGTCCTGCCCTCCATGGCCGGTGACGACTGATCCACCAAACGAGGAGGAAGTCCGCAAGGAACTCCAACTCTTGAAGCGTTACAAATCACCTGGCCCAGATGACTTACCTCCGGCTCTTTTTAAAGATGGTGGTGACTTTTTGACTAAGGAATTGACGACGTTGTTTACAAAGGTTTGGGAACTAGAGAGTGTACCAACGTCATGGAATGAGTCGATAGTTGTCCCTATCTTTAAAAAGGGTTCACGTCGTTCCTGCAACAACTATCGGAGGATAAGTCTACTTCCGATTGCGTCCAAGCTATTGGCTTCCGTCATACTTCGTAGGTTGTTCAAAACCCGAGAAAGATTGACTCGCGAGGAGCAGGCTGGGTTTCGTTCTGGTCGAGGATGTATTGATCATATATTCACCCTCCGCCAAATGTTAGAACACCGCCATACTTATCAAAGGCCAACAATCGTAGTGTTTCTTGACATCATGGCTACTTTCGGTTCGTTGGACAGGACTGCTCTCTGGGATTGTCTATTGAAGAAGGGTGTGCCTGAGAAGTTTATTAACATCCTAAAAGCCCTATATAAAAACACCTCAGGCAGAGTGAGGGCATACAACCACCTCTCTCCATTGTTCCATTCGAGCAGTGGGGTTAGGCAGGGTTGCCCAATCTCACCATTCCTCTTCAACTTTGCCATCGATGACATTCTGGAAACAGCTCTGATGAATGTAAGTAATGGTGGTGTGGATCTGTTGCCTGGAGAAAGACTTCTCGACCTTGAGTATGCGGACGATATTGTCTTACTGTGCGATAATGCCCAAGGCATGCAATCCGCACTTAATCAGTTGGCAATCAGTGTCCGTAGGTATGGTATGTGCTTTGCGCCTTCGAAGTGCAAAGTACTTCTACAAGACTGGCAGGATTCTAATCCTGTACTCACCCTAGATGGTGAGCAGATAGACGTAGTTGAGAAGTTCGTGTATCTGGGTAGCTGCATAAGTGCTGGTGGGGGTGTGAGTGATGAGATCAATGCACGAATAGTGAAAGCCAGAGCGGCTTATGCCAATTTGGGCCACCTTTGGCGCCTTCGTGATGTTAGTCTGGCTGTAAAAGGTCGGATCTACAACGCGTCGGTGAGAGCGGTTCTGCTCTATGCTTGTGAAACCTGGCCTCTCCGAGTTGAGGACGTTAGACGACTCTCTGTGTTCGATCATCGCTGTCTCCGAAAGATTGCTGACATTCAGTGGCAACACCATGTCAGTAATGCAGAGGCTCGGCATCGTGTGTTCGGGCACAGAGATGATAATTCAATTGGTGTCACCATCTTGAAACACCGACTTCGGTGGCTTGGACATGTTCTACGAATGTCGTCCCAGAGGATTCCACGTCGTGCATTATTTGCCGACTCTGGGACTGGTTGGAAGAAGCGGAGAGGTGGTCAGTGCATGACATGGTGTCGTGGCATGAAAGAAAGCTGCAAAGGACTGGCTTGTGTTGGTCCTTCACGACTCCCTGGTTGGGATCCGAGAGATGGTGCTACACAGTGGCTAGAGACGTTATCAGATATGGCTCAGAATAGAAGCCAATGGCGATCCTGCTGTAACCTTCTTTTACTTTCTTCATAAAAAGTGGTTGTGTCTCCCTTACCTGAAAGGTTTCTTCCGATTGTACCTTTGCGTTCCCTGATTACTAGCACATTACCTTACACCAATCTCTTCGTTATTGTTCTCTCTTTTTTTGTTGCGCTCCTTAGCTTTTTCTTTTTTTCCTTGTATTCCTCTCGAATTTTCATTGTTTTGTGTGGCGCATATATATTGGCGCTCTCTTGTACCAATATTCATGTGTCCAAATAAATAATAAATAAATGTACCGCACAAACTACAGTGAAGAGCGTTCCCAGAAAATAAGACATCTACGCAAATCTGCTGGTGATAAAATAAAACGCCAACGATAATTTCCTACTACAAGATTTGTTGAAAAACTAGACTGAATATAAACACTGGCGTTATGAGTACCAACACGTCTTGAGCTGTATTCCGCAATGTTTAATCAGAAATAGACAACGGCAATAGGATTCAGTGACGATACTTATCCCGACAATATGAAGTTCGTCTTGAAACCGCTAATACAGAAAACACAAGTAAAAATACATCCTGGCATCGTTTCTCAAAAACTACGCCACTTAACCGTAAAATAAGTAGAAAAGAAAATACTATGAAAGTAGAACACATCACATGATTTATCATACATCTGAGATGCTGACGTATATAATGCATAAGATCTAATGATGTCTGCTATTGACAAGTTTCTAAAAACACACTGTTTGTCAATCGAAGCATCTGAGTCGCTCTCATCTTCGCTGTATATCTCCGAGTGACTCGTATCAGTATCTTCAATTGGTGATAGCGCAGGAGTGCTATGCTGTGTACGATGGTTGGTGCCGTTTGCAATAATCGCTGATTTTATTCCGAATTGCTGATCATCATATCCACGTAAACGTTCGTAAAATAACAAATAAGCAGGACTTGATTCCACGTGTTTGAACGGTACACGTATCACATGAGCATCGGAAGTCAGTATCCATGGCGAATTATGGGCATCAGGTGTGTTTGATATTCCTTTAAAATAGTTCGAAACATATTCGTACAAACTTGAAAAAATATTAACTAACCAACACGACTTTTGTTGCACATGCAATACAGGTGTGTGCCATTTACGATACGTTATATAATGTCCACACTGATGAAATGCGCCTTCATGAACAATAACTGAACGGAGTATGTATGGTTTTGGACAACTGTAATATAAAGCAAAAATGATAATATAGTTTACTAGAAAATGCTGAGAAAACATATATAAGTAACTATAATCCAATGAACCGAACTATTGACTTGTGAGTTAGATTAAGAAGGGGGTAAGTACAACTTATGTTCATTTTATGATTTATGCACATTATATGAAGAAATGAAACTTATCAAAACAAATAGTATAAACGGCAACATATAGAATAATAATACGTCACTTTTCTTCGTTGTCAACAGTGCTTAGGAACTTGGAAAACCGCTGGGTTCTAATCTTGTAGATCTCTGGCTATCAGCGGTTTACAAGATCTAGTAATAAAACTTCCAAATATTAGTTGCAACGAGTAGATTCATGAAATTACTTAACTTTTCACCATTCTTACGCTTAATTAACTTTATTTTAAAAAATACATAGTTCAAAACAGGGTAAAAATAACCCATGAATAAGCTTCGAGCAGACGAAAATTTGTGGTTTGAAGACTGTATTTTTATTTGTCCGACCATAGGTTTAAGTTGGTTCAGAGAGCGGCTTTATCCCACATACTAAGTGCTACTCACCCTAGTATACGAAAGAAATAACATGACTGAGTCTCACTTGAGTATCATCTTTATTGTACCGGGCACTCTTGTTTAAATAAGTAGTCGATAACTTCACAAAATTATTTTCACGAGGTTATATGAACTATCTATAGTATAAAAATTACCCAAGTTCAGTACAGTAAATTAACTGGACTGCATCCCATTCTGTCACTCAAGAGTTGCCAGTCATATTTCCTAAGTAATGAATTATAACTACTTGAACTACTAAAACAAATGAATTGATACTTTGTATTGTCAGAATAAATAACAAATTTAACATTTCTGATAAGTTGAAAATGGGAAAAAATTACAAACTCTACTTCGAAAATAAATGACAAGACAAATAATTTACTGAAAACCTACTCCCTTCCTAATAATTCTGAAGTATTGGAAAGTAAACCTCCAGAGGGTTTGTCATGATATGGATTTACAGGCTGAGATGAAGCCTCAGTCTTTAAAATCCTACACGGTAACAAATAAGGCGCCATATTTAAAAACTCCGGAATATGTACATGTTCAGAACGCTTTGTAGCAATCCTGGTAGTTGAAAAATGATTTCCACCAAACTGACGAATATTATTCGATTCAGTGGATAAGCTAGCTATGTTTAACCAATCACTTCTTTGTATATACAAAACTAGGTATTTAGGAGTGTGTGTTATCCATTGTTCGCGTTGACAATAATTTAATGAACAGGATTTTGATGTCGAAGATTTCTGACATCTAGGGCACTTCATATCAGGTATAGGTTCGACAGTTGCCAACTGAGTATCAAGACATTCAATAAGATCTATCACTTCTGTAGACGTTTTGACATATGACTGTTGTAATCCTTTCACATTTGTCTTTACAATGCTGGGACTCCCTGATAAATAATGAAAACAAAGAATAAAACTAAACTCGGATGATATATATATATATATATATATATATATATATATATATATATATATACAGAAAATCTGGAAAATTGGTATAAGGTAGTACGCGGTTTAAAGTACTTAGTATTATTATATATATATATATGGGAAGTTTGTAGAAACTTGTAATAAAAACCAATTAGAAAGACTATATTGAGACAGATGAGGCAATGCATCACTATCGAGATATATCGGAGTAAACCCATAAAATCCTTGTATTTAGTAATATTCCAAGCTGAAACAATTTGCTGAACCCAGGATATTGTGTATAACCGAGTTAAGAACTGTAAAATCAAGGACAATAGAAAACTGGATATAAATGACTTGATAAAGCACCGAGACGATTGCAAAAAAGATTATTAGGTCCCTCATTATCCGTCTGATTTGTGCGATGAATCGCAAGCTAAACAGATGAGTTTTTACATACAGCAAAATTAATAACCCAGTTGTACTCACAATAGACTAGTTTTCTTATGACGATAAGTCAGAGTAAACCGACAAACACTTTTCTCGAACATTTTTAATGAACGAAATGAAAGCGCTTACCTTAAATCCAAAAGGACAATAGTAAAAACAAACATCCGCGTAAAAAGAAAGAGAATAAAATCTGGAAAGTTAGTATAAGGTAGTACGCGGTTTAAAACAATTAGTATTATTATTCACAATCTCTTAAACAAAAGTAATCATCATGGTAAAGAGAACAAGTATTTCTAAGTACGAATAAAATACAAACACAATCATTAATATGAATAACAATAAGAAACTGAACATTTTTCAGTTAATCAGTAATTATAAAATCTTATTAAAAGAGGATTAAATAATCCTATGTTACGTAAATATTAATAGTAATGGTTGGATGATAATATTAATCATAAACACTGTCCCTGAATGAAGGAATGGCGAATTTCTCACATCGACTAATTGACAACATCAAAAGTGATAAATGCATATATTGATGAATGGTTTTTATACGAAAAAAACATGAATTGCAAAATTAATTTTAATGATACTGAACTCATCTAAGACATGAAGCACAAAATACACAATGACAGTGTACTTGCTATTTGTCCATAGGAAAGTTGGAGTGCAAAACTGAAATATGACGAAAACTATATTCATATCCAGAAAGACTCATGTGACTCAAACTAACACAAAAACGTTCAAGTTATCCGATTGTTGATATTCAGAATAAAACTTCAACCAGTTTTTGTTTGAATATATAAGTATCAACGTGATAATTCAAACCCTGACCAATAATGTTTATACAATATACCTCTTAAACAAGTTAACAGTCAGTTGAACTCGGTAGTGCAGTGAATAATGCATTGAAGTTTGAAGCCATAAGTACAACGTTCGAGTAGCAACATGAAGATCGCACGAAAATTAACGGTACGTATAACTCCGCCTGTAGCTCTTCCAGAGTTACTGCCGGTCCCAAGCCCCGGTAAAGGAGGAGGGTTGGGCATAGGGTTAGCGTCCTCATCCCGTAGAAAACTAACTCGCTAAAAAAACGCTTACCAGAAAACATTAGTCAAACTATCTAAACTCTTGGTATTGTTGTGCTTGAATCTCCCCATTGATGTTTTAGGACTGAAATTGATCAGTCTTATTGGCATATGTGCATACTGTGTGTATGCCTCGATATCGCCTTAATTCACAGGCTTTTATAAGCAAAGATGGATAGTGGTTAGCAGTGGAATCCAGGATGCGCGTTTCGTCCTGTTTGGGGCTCGTCAGCTGGATGTACCTGCATCTCAGAGTTGATGTTCACTCTGGGAGTCGAACTCAGTACTGTTCGCTTCAAACGCCAACGCGTTATCCACTTAGCTACTGAGTCCTGATAGTCACTTGCTTGTGCAATGGAGTGAAGTTTAATTCACTTGGTAAATTAAGGCAATATCGAGGCATACGCACAGTATGCACATATGCCAATAAGAGACTGATCAATTTCAGTCCTAAAACATCAATTGGAAGATTCAAGTAAAACAATACCAAGTGAATTAAACTTGGAAGCAAACAAGCAAGTGAAGAGGAGCATTAGAGCCGACAGGAAGAAATACGTGGAAGAACTAGCAACGACGGCAGAAAAAGCTGCTAGAGAAGGAAATGTGAAACAACTTCACGATACAACGAAGAAACTAGCAGGGAAATACAGTAAACCAGAGAGGCCGGTCAAAGACAAAGAAGGCAAGCCAATCACTGAAATTCAACAACAGTGGAACAGATGGGTAGAATACTTCGAGGAACTCCTGAAAAGGCCGGCTCCAATGAATCCAGTGGACATCGAAGCAGCACACATAGATCTTCCTATAGATGTCAATCCACCAACTACGGAAGAAATTAGAATGGCCATCAGACAAACCAAGAGCGGGAAAGCAGCAGGACCCGACAACATACCAGCTGAAGCACTGAAATCAGACATCGAAACAACCACAAGCATGCTTCACCCTCTATTCAAAAAGATTTGGGAGGAGGAACAAGTGCCGATGGACTGGAAAGAAGGACACCTCACCAAGATTCCAAAGAAAGGAGACCTGAGCAAATGTGAAAACTACACAGGCATCACACTACTGTCAGCACCAGGGAAAGTCTTTAACAGAGTTTTGCTGAACCGGACGAAAGATGCAGTAGACGCCCAACTTCGAGATCAACAAGCTGGATTCTGTAAGGATCGGTCGTGCACAGACCAAATTGCGACATTACAGATCATCGTCGAACTCGTCACTGTACATTAACTTCATTGATTATGAAAAGGCATTTGACAGTGTGGATAGGAGGACGTTATGGAAACTTCTTCGACACTACGGAGTTACTGAGAAGATTGTCAAGATTATCCGGAACTCATATGACGGACTACAGTGCAAGGTCATGCATGGAGGACATCTGACAGATGCATTCCAAGTAAGGACCGGAGTCAGACAAGGCTGTCTACTCTCTCCCTTCCTCTTTCTTCTGGTGGTCGACTGGATTTTGAAGACCTCAACATCTGAGGGAAAACGCGGAATACAATGGACAGCTCCGAATCAATTAAGCGATTTGGACTTCGCAGATGACCTGGCCCTCCTATCGCATCCACATGAACAAATGCAGATAAAGACAGCCGGTGTAGCAGCAGTCTCTGCATCAGTAGGCCTCAGCATACACAAGGGGAAAACCAAGGTCCTCAAATTCAAAGCGGAGAACAGCAATCCAATTACTCTTGATGGCGAAACTCTGAAAGATGTAGAATCCTCCACATACCTGGGAAGCATCATCGATGAACAAGGAGGATCCGATGCAGACGTAAAGTCGAGGGTTGGCAAAGTAAGGGCAGCATTCCTACAGTTGAAGAACATATGGAACTCAAAACAACTTTCAACCAATGCCAAAGTGAGAATTTTCAATACGAATGTCAAGGCAGTTCTACTGTATGGAGCTGAAACTTAGAGAACTACAACAACCACAATCAGGAAAGTGCAAGTATTTATAAATAGCTGTTTACGCAAGATACTCGAAATCCATTGGCCGGATACCATCAACAACAGCCTTTTGTGTGAGAGAACAAACCAGCTTCCAGCTGAAGAGGGAATTAGGAAAAGACGATGGAAATGGATAGGACATACATTACGCAAATCATCAAACTGCATCACGAGGCAAGCCCTAACTTGGAATCCTGAAGGGAAGCGAAAAAGAGGAAGGCCAAAGAACACATTACGTCGGGAAATAAAAGCAGATATGGAAAGGATGAATAACAACTGGAAGGAGCTCGAAAGGATTTCCCAGGACAGGGTTGGATGGCGAATGCCGGTGAGAGGCCTATGTTCCTTCACGAGGAGTAACAGGTGTAAGTAAGTAATAACTCAAGAAAATAGCATTGTAAAAGAACTATCTGACCAAGAATATAGAATTTCCATACATCTTAGCGTATAGGTTACTTATCAATTCAACCCACTAAACAATTGGAAACAAAAGACTTTAAGTGAAGTAAATGCGTTTTGCACTAGCAGAAACAATTCCAACTTTGTAGGTTAAATGGGTGAAATGCTTCAATGTACAAAATGCTAAGCCCAAACTTTAAAACAAACTAACAACCAAGTAGGCTTAATCAAAGGGTTCCAAAACAGAACGAACCAAATAATCTTAGATTACATAAAAATCAATGTTTCACATTCTATGAAGATTACATGTGGTATTTAAATTAACTAATTATTCCTTTGTACTTGATTGAGTGCTGATTACGGATTCCGAATATAATCCATTCATCATTTGCGCTTATCTAGATCAACTTGCCTTAAATAGCACTATTTCGGAAATTCTTAGCTAACATATGAATTTGGATTCTTTTAATTATCAAACTACATCAGTAAATATACACAATAAACTGGAATACCACACAAATTTAAACACACTTAGCAACAAAACTACACCAATAAGATACCAAAATTATAAAAGAACAACCTCACTGTTGGGGTGATCCAGAAAACTTCTCACAAGAGATAAGAAAGGCTCAGGAAGCACTAAGAAGCATTTTATACAATCAGCGTTCATTAGAAGTTTAGCCAGAAACATCAAGAAAGTGAAAAGTCACACGTAGAGTTTCTGATTGGTTGATTACCACACTGCTAATGTTTAGTAGCATTCTAGAATTTTCGAGAAAACCCAAAGACATCTAAAATACTATAAAAACCCTATATTTTCTGTACTAGAACGAACCTTTGGAGTAAAGTACTTCTCACATACTTTGCGCCTTATCTCTCGTGTTCAGGTCGCTATGTAGTTCTAGCTTGGGGGTTACGAGAATAGCTTATGAATCGAATATAACGTTTAATTAGCAATACTTATCACTCAGCCATAATACTAAACTAATAAATGCACCGTGTTGGCAAAATTAAACATTTACTATGTAACGGTCCGAATTATAAACAGGTTTGAATTCTTCGGAATAGTTTAGTACAATGATCTTGTTAATCTCAATCACTAGTGTATTTAACTGAGCACCTCTTCGTTATCCCATTTTATTCTTAGATTATTTTAACTACTCTATCTTAACTAACAGATAGTCGCAATAAAAATTCATTTCTTGAAATTCATGAAAGTAAATTATTTTGAATCCATAATTTGTAGTTACAAAAATGAACTAATAAGTAGGTTCGAGCCATACCATAACGGTTTACGGAGTGTGGTTTGGGTTACATCTATATGTTAGTGATCATATTCCATTTGTAATTGAATTCAAAATAATCAATATTTACATGCTCTATTTTAAAAGCCTTATTATTGGTGTTAATCCTAGTCGCATCACTTATATAGTTAGTAAATTTCTCACACAAATACAGAGTATAGATTGACAGTGATTATGCACTTGTTTACATAGACAGAAATCATTAGTTTCAAGAAACATTGACACCTCAAATAAGAAGAGTAGAGAGAATCTCTAATTCATATATATATTTATATAAAATAAAGTTAACTAGTGATCATATTGAAGTAGTGAATTTTGGTTTTCTTAAGTAACTGAGCCATCAGGTATTTTGGTATGAACTACACTCTATATGATACTATCCGGCTTTCCAAACAGAAACAGATGGAGCATGGTTCGAATTAGAGAGTTGCAGGCTGAAAATCTAATGCCATAACCACTGATACTGTGTTTACAAGTGAAAATTAACTTACTTAAAAATATGGTTAAACAAGCTTCCGGTTGAATGACCACTTTACTATGATAGTTGCAATAATTACATGTTACTCGGCTACTCATCAGAATTTGTTCAAACACATGAGTAGGAAATGCATCGCATAAAATTGCACGAAACTTTACACTTTCAATAGCAGAACAATGAGATCGACAGACAACTATCTTTGAAAATAAAATCAAAAGGAAGAAGATTTGTGAAACGATGACAAAAAATGGCTACAATTTGATGCTGAATATAATAAATAAAATTATCAGCATAGGATTGTGGAGATTATCGGACTTTATTGAGATCACGAACCGACAAATCCTAGGCTACCTGGGTTCCAGCCCCGTGTGCGGGATCGTTCGTGCGCACTGCTGAGAAGTCCCATACTGGGACGAAATGACCGTCCAATGCTTTCAGGTTTTCAGTGATCTAACATCGATCAGTTCATGATCTCAATAAATAAAGAAATACATTGGAGCAAGATTAGCAATTACGCTTTTTGGTCAAAATGAAACACCACTGAATTGAATAGTTTAGAAATTTCACAGGTTGAAATCATGAGTCGATTGAAGCTAGAGCACCATGGAAAACCTGGAAGCACTGGACGACCGTTTCGTCCTAGTACGGGACTCCTCAGCAGTGTGCATCCACGATCCCGCACCACGCGGGGCTCGAACCCGGGACCTACTGGCTTCGCGCGTGAGCGCTTAACTACTAGACCACTGAATTTAGAAATTTCCAGCTGAACTGCAACCATTAATTAGGTTTCCCATCGACAAAGAAAATTATTTACGTACTTTTATAAAAAAATAATAATTTTGTACACTTACTCGTCTATGGTGAGGAAGATTAAAATTGAACAGATTACTTATTTTTCTAGCATATGTTTTGCTGGAAAAACCATTATCTTGACTACAAGCACGTTCCATGATAAAACCAAATAATTCATGAGCATCCTAAAATTAAAACACAAAGAAAACATATTTTATCCATCTAATATATGGTTTTAGTCAGCTTGTTAAGAGTTAAGTGTTAACGTCTAACTTGAATACAACATTTTCCTTAATCATACTTTGATTTTCGCCATATATCTTTATGTTGATACTAATTCATTAAAACCATCGCTTCCCTTATTTTTTTAATCTAGCCCTTATATAAAATCTGTTTGTGAGTTAACATTATAAACCAAACATATCCAAACTATCTTCACAACGCGTTCACACTGAATAAAAACAAAGTAGTAGCCAGTTAATTAGTTACAACGCAATGATACACAAGTTACTAAAATCAATGAAAATATAAATATCCCAGTGAGTAGTAAAACAAACTGTACCACTTAAATAATAGCTTAACTAACTAAATCTAAACACAAACGCAATTGTAGTATTGACTAGTTTTTTTCTACATGAAATGCTGTTCTTATCAGCTACAACAGACAGCATACTTTCAAAAGCAAACAAAAATAACAGGTTAGCGACTAAAATGACCAGTTCTTAACGCAGAAACTGACATTTCGCATCATGTGTAACCAAAAAAAATGCAAAGTCAACTAAATCACCGAAAACAATTGCAGATAAGACTTTCTGCTCCGACAAATGAAGTTATAAATAAAGAATGAGAAAACGACTAAATTTTAGATTATAACTTGTGTTAAAATTAATAATATAAAAGCCTAATGGACTTATTCCTCTTTTTTATATCCATTTGTGTATATCTCTATAAATGCTCGTTCCCACAGATACGATGGCCTACGATTTCATGAGTTATACACCAAAAGCTATAATGATCCTTTTTCGACATTATTTCATTTAAATAGGAAAAACACCTATGTTTGATAAGGTTACTTGGATATTCTTTCGTCAGCGAATTAAGCGTTGTTCTAAAAGCATGATTACTGAATGGTTATGGGAGTGACTGCTGTTTTTAGCGAAATCTGTTTTATCCACTTAGCATAACACGATTAGTAGTATTATTTGTACAAAAGGTTACGGTTTAAGAGTCACTTATCTTCTCCTTTCCTAAAAAACTGACACAAGACAGGACCACCTAAAATCAATTTTTTTTCAGTCTATAATTTGAAGACATAACAGTCAATAAATTTGGATTCGGCTTTCCTGAACCTAATCATTTACGAGCTCAATACCTCAGAGACAAAATCTACGACTACGATGCCTAACGATGCTTGTTCTACATTAACATACACATATTTAGTAACTGATAAAAAAACAAGTATGGAAGTCTAGTCATGATAACATTTATTAAATTCAAAGCAAAACGAAGCGCAGAGAAATTTTGAGTTACTTATTTCACTTAGTGACTAAGTGATAAAACTGGTCGAGAAATTTTAGTTGATCGTATTTAGACAAATCATGAGAACGACTAATAATTAGTGCAGTAACAAAAATTAGTACCCAGTATAGTGAATCTATGGATTAAATGAAAATTACCAAGCATGATGTATTAAAACTAAGATAAATGTAACATAAAAAGGGATAACACAACAACTAACCTGCTGTTCATGAATAGCCCAATTTTGTGTATTCACTATGTCATTAATTAACGCCTCATGATTCTTCTTTAGTAAACCGCCCAAGTTATTCTCTGCAATATACTGAGAAGAACATTGCAGACCTGGCAAAATAAAGTTGACACTTCAATTGTAAATTTATAGCTTAGCAAAATTGGTTACCGGATAAAAATATAACCCAAAGATATTCAGTAAATATACGATAAAAATTGATTCCGCTAAAAACTAACAATTCGTGTTGTTGATAGTCAAAGTAAAAATTTGTGTCGTCCATGATACTGCCTGACTGTATGTTAATTACAATTAGATTTGATTACCTCAGCTCCGAATACAGATGGCTTATTTTCTTATTAGCCCAAGTTAATTCAAAACATGTATCTTGTTCAAGAAATGTATCGGAGGGACTAAAGAAGATTGAACTAAGAGGGCAGCTATTTTACATTAATACGTTGACAATCGTCAGGACAGTAGGGTAAAAACTAGAATCTAGAAGTCACAAATAAATAAGGGGAGTGAGCTTTAGGTCCTGTCAGAAATTAAGGAGATTGACGGGTAATAAAGGAAACTTACATTTTCGTAAGTAAAATGACAAAGTGCTAATCGATATAAATTGCTTTTATCGTTTAATCATCTTTAAGAAAACATTCAGTTTGTATAGTTTATTAGACCACAACCACTCAGACTTTTCACAACCTGCAGAGATTTAAACAAGGATTTGAGAAAATAAGTTTTCCCATGAATTATATTCAGGCTCAGTGTCATAGTTTACACTCTAGTTTACCTAAATACAAACTTGGGAATCACTTGGCTGATGAGACAAGCCAACAAGAAACTGCACTGGTCAAACAAACATGCTCATAGTTCATATTCTCCATGCGTACATAAAATGAAAAGGATATATCCATCACGAACTTTAATTGCTATTTTGTTGAAAAGATTATCTTGGGATATATTTAATTACAATTCTCACCATTTCGACGTGGCGAGCCATAATTCCTGAAGAAGTCCTTACAAACTTAACCAATCACATATTTACTGACTTTATTAAGGATATATCTAAAGAAGAAAACATAATCAGTTTTGTTTTTTAAAACTCTTAATCACTGGTTTCTTAATACACCAAACGTGAATGACTGTGGGATCCAAAAAGTTAGAATGAGAACGAAATTGAACACTTACCCTTCAATAAACACAATAATCTATACATGAATTTGTCCGGCCTAATGTGGACACTGCGTTTTAGGAGACGAACAAGACTTGGATTCGCTGCCATTGCTTGCATCAATGCATTGAAATAGCATACATTTCTAGGATTTGGAAGCCCAACTGGCAAATCTGAGGCGTTTTCTATAAAGTATCACCAATCAAGAATATTCTCAATACATAAATTAAATTTAAAGACACAGAAAATCGGTGGCTTCTACAATAATATAGAGCTTAAGTATTTTTATTCAACGTGGCCACGAATTTCGACATATTGGCTATCGTTTCAGTAGATACTAGTAAAATCATGGTCACATCCCGGTTCAGTTCAAGTCTCTATGTCCGATCTATCTACATATTACATCACAAAGCTTAAATGCAAACAAATCAGAAAGAATCCAAGTATAATACAGTTATGTATTAATTGAAGTTGTCATATTACACAATGTCACAGCAGCGTTAGCTGACTGAGAGAAAATAGACCAATTTTATAACACAAATAGCGGCAAAGAAATGAAGATGTGTAAAAAAATAAAGGATAGAGAGCATATGATGATAATATATCCCTGATTCAGGTGAAGTCAATTAGTGGACGTATCTGCACCACTGCAGATTACTTTACCTAAGGATTCAAGGAAAAAATAGGATGCTCTTTACGTCGATCAAACCAACGAACTGTAACTTCAAAAAATAGGGCCGCGTCTTGGTCTAGATATGACTTTTTCCAGATTTATTTTTTACCTAGCATAGACTGTTTATGAGTTTTATAAGGGCGTAAAAGTTATTTTGCAACCCAAAAACCGATTTGTTGTGTTCGTTTACAAACATTCCATCAAAGTTTGAGTAGCATACTCGTGAACTTTACCATCCACACCTGTTATCAAATAATAATAATAATAATAATAATAATAATAATAATAATAATAATAATAATAATAATAATAATAATAATAATAATAATAAAGAGCATGCGATATCGAGCCACTTAGGCTAGTAGCTACGTTGTGATTTGATCGATCTAATTCAATCAGCCCTAAAAAGGACTAGATAGACATGACAGTCACGACCCAGTGATCGCTTGTAAATATCTCAGCACCACAGGTAAGTTGCTAGCTGAGTAGCTTAATGACAGCATTTCAGATTGTCAAGATGGATGGTGTGGGTTAGAATTCCACATAGACGATCAATTTTCCTAAAAATTACAGGTGCTCTTCGCTGATTAGTGCCTAATAGCACGAAAGCCATGCAAAGCGTTCCTTATCAATTACCTCCAACCACCTAAAGCTCATATTTATATACGTTAAAACAGTCAAATAATAAAGATAATTTCTAAGTTAATAATAACATAGATGTCTTCTAGTCAAAATTCGTTTATTATTTAGCGATTCCCTTTTCAGAACAAATGGCGTATGAACCAATTGTTGGTCACCGGCTCCCATGGGACTGCATCTCCTTACGATGCTCCACTGTCTTGTGGATCAGACCTTTGGGTCGAAGGCTCCGGGTGCGGCCCCCTAAGAAAACCACCTGTTTCGGTTCGGGCACCCGAGCAGTATCACAACCCTAACACAATTCAAATGAGATTTGTGTGGCTCATATGTATTTGGTGCCTCCTTGTACCAATATATATGTGTTCAAATAATAATACTAATAATCCTTTGTGTACTATTCCTTAATGTTTCTTCTGATCTTGTTTGATATACATAAACCCCATAACAGTATCTAGTTGTTCTTTAATAGTAAACGCCATTGATGGATTAATGATAACATCTGTAAAGGAAGTTATTCTTACCTTGTAATACTATTAAAAATATTAACTAGCAACAGTGAAATGCTAGTCGATTATTGCAGTGACGATGAAAAACTAATTGGAAAGTGTATCTTTGCTATTTGGGGATGGTGTGCTTGTGCGCATGATTTTAGCAAAACATTTGAGGTTGCAAAAACTGTATCGAGCGATGAGATGGTTAAAGAGCCTAACCTTTAAAAACTTTGTGGGATGTTCTGATCAGTGGAAACCTATATGGTCCAAGTGTGTCGTCGCAAGTGAATATTTTGAGATATATAAGACTTATTCACTCTGTTTGCAAAATAAGATCCATATGATTACATTTCATGTATTTGTTGTAGTGTTAACAAGTTCTAGCCGCAGAAACCCAGTATTGCATACTCGAAAGTAATATAGGACAGGTCTTTAACCAACTAGTTGTATAGTGAATATATCCCTGGATGTATAGCAAACCAATCATATGTTTACTCCTAGTCTGAACACATTAACCAAACATTAGACGCGAAAACGTATGGTTTAGCAACCAAGGTATAAGGACGACAATAACGATTAAAACTACATATTCAGTAGATATCAAAGTAAAACTACATGAATATAGTGGACGAATAAGCCGACGAATAGCGAAAGATCCAGTTGAAATACTAAGAAAAAGGCAGTAAATATTAGAAGAGAAAAATTAGCATTCAACCACTTGACAGTTTGTGAGTCACTATATTCTATTTCATAAGCCGCAAAATGTCTTGAGCTTGATAGGGCGCCAAAAGTAACGCCCCTCAAATAAGAAGCAGTGAGGACGTATAATAATAATGTGGTTCAATTTTTCGTAGCCCCAAATCTGACTCCAATTTGATCGTAGGTTGTTTGTTATCGAAATATACATATCGCCAGTCCTGTGTATAATCATAGACTTAACTCGAGTTGGTGTATAAAGGAACTAAATAAGTCAAATACAAGAATGAATTTCGAATACGTGTATTTCATACAATCGTTGATCAGAACAGACAATCAGAGAGACGGTGTGAAGAGAAGAGAGCGAAGCGAAATGACGCGCGGTGGAAGAGTGTGAGCCAACTCGACTTAACCAAGTGAAACTCGATATTTGTAGTCAGATAAAAATGAGTTACAGAAATGTGATGAGTAAGATAGGAAATGCACACACATACGCTCATATAGAAACGGTCAGCGTTGTTAAGTGAATGATTAACAAGGTCGAATAGTAGCTTGAGGAGAATGAGTAAGTTGGTTTGTTCAGAAGCTAGAATAAGCTATGTGAGCTCGAAATAGGACCATCCACTACAAATTATCAATGACAGATTTGCGTTGGGTTTCGTGACACTGTTTGTGAGAGGGATAATAACACTACTTTGAAGGCTTTGAACTCGCTATCTGCTGGCCGGAAAATCTGGTGGATCCGCTAAAAGCTAACTGCAAGTGGTTCATCAATATCAAGTAGTCGATCTAGGACACACTAAGAGACTTCTTGGTAATCGACTATCAAATTTACTGTTTAAAGTCGAATGTTTCAGAGCGCGTGTGAAAAAAACGAACCCAATGATACAGCGAATTTAGAATCAATCACCAAACACTTCAAAAATTTAGTTAATAAGACGTATAAACAACAAAAGATCAAACTCTTACGGCAATATACTTTCTTGTTTTCTCGTCGATATAACAAGAATATAGCACCAGAAACTACAGCACCTCCAATAACCACCACTAGCGAATCACAAACTTGTTTGGCTAAATTATATTATATTTTGAATACACATATACCTGTAAAACCAGTAGATTTCATTCTCAACCAGTCCGTACCGAAGACTCTCGAATAGTTGCCATTTTAGTGCGACTTCTGGATGACCTTCATCTAGTCTGGACAGATGAATTTATCCGCAACGCAACCATGTAAACTTAATGTATCGCCCAGTATAATGACGGTCATATGTGCGTTCAAGTAACCACAGATTTTGTTATTTCATATTGTATTTTTAATTAAATAACTAGATTATGCTTTTAATTTTCCTCTGATTGTAACTCTTATTCTCCACGTCTGACTGCGTTACACTGTACGTTCATTGAATGCTGGGATGATATCCCAAGTCATAGTGAGTTTAATCACATCGTTGATTGTTTCCAGATAGAACGTCAGTGCATGATGTTACTGAAAAAATGTTTTTTGTACTGTAACCTATGTTTTTATGAACAACTGACTGTTGTCTTCATTTTGAAAACAATATATATGTATCATTCCTCTTCTGTTACGTAGGTTCGACTAGCTTATATTTCGTGTTTTGATTTTATAGACTGAATTATTTCCATTTAACTACTTTGAGCAACATGTTTGTGCAAATGAAACAATAATTATGACACTTGCTTAGTTAAGCATTCTTGATTGTCGTATAATTCAGTTTAGTTGGAAGAATTATGGTGTAGCGATAAATAAGTCCCCAAAATAAATAGCTCTGTAAGTTTTCGACATTGGATGCTGACCATATGTTTTAGTGGACTCATCTGGGCGCTCGGTCATGCATCCGCACCAGACCACGTGTGGTAACGCTGTGCTCAACATCTACCGCAATCGCTAGCCAGATTAGATTAGATAATTCCGATATATTGGCAATCGCCAAATACACTCTTCCGATCTCCTCGACTCTGTCTTTTTATTTCTCTTGGTACGTACGAATTATATTAGGTTTTGCTGGTAAAAGCGTTGTCAAACACTGAATACCTTTGTCATCTTCAATGGTATACTTAAGAACAGTGCTTGAAGCCTGTAACGAAACAGATCAGTATAGTAAGTAGAGTTGCCCGTTTCTAATGAATATACTGATTCAGATCAGTCTGATTAAAAATAAAAAACGTGCCTTTGATGCTGTTGCTGTCATACATTATAAGATAGCGATAAGTATGTTTGGTGTTTATTTATAGACTGTACATCTGCCATTGACCATATTTCAAGATCACTGTCATTAAACAATTTCTCCAGCAATAACATTGGTAGCAGGATAGATAAGCGTCTGAGCTTTTAGTTGCCCCCAAAACAGCAGTATACAGTCTCAGAAGATGAGTGTTCTGTGTATCAATTAAATGTAAATGGCTGTGGATAAATGTTAAGAATCTTTTTGACAACTGGGACTTTTAGTTTATCAGACACTAACTCTGCTTTTATGTCTTGTTGTTAAATTAGACGCAGATGCATGGGAATACTTAAATGGGAGCAAAATAATAAAAGCATTGCGATACGGCACTAAGCCTATGTGATGCTTTGCACAAGTAATAATAGCTGACCTGATCTAATATTCATGAACTCAAGGTAAATCACAACTGCATGAATTCTTTGCTAGAAAACATGTAATTTGGTTATTTGTCTATTCCACATTTCTGACTAAATTTATTAATATTTTTCCATTTAGAATGCAACAGGAGCGAGTCTTCACAGATCCTAATAACTGTTTCGCCCCTAGAACTATGGCCCTATGAAACTTTACGGGAGACCCAATTAACAGCGGATTATAAAAAGGATGCTGAACTTCCATTTTAGTCTCAGAACCACTTCCAGTACTTTTTGAGTTACTTCTTTTACCCTTTCGTTCGGAAAAAATCAACAAAGACTGAAGCTTAACATTACCAATGAAACTTTTAAACGAGAACTTCGTTTAAACTTTTGTTTGATATTCGATTCTTAATGAAAGTTCCTGAATAAATTTTTAAATCTAATGCTACTTTGTTTTACCTACTTAATCGTTGCAAGAAACTTGCGTTACATGAGCCTCGCAGCACCTAGTTGATATGTAATATATTTAAGTGATTTAGTACATATCCTCTTCATTTTCTTGGGAAACCTACAGACTCGAGTCCTCTCATAGCTTATTCTAACCACCATGAGTTTTCACTGCAGCTGATGGATGGATACGCGGTACACATCCTAACCGTACCTGCGTCTAATCTCATAGCTCCTTATTCAAATGCCATATGATAAGCAAGCAATGCCCCTACCCGCACTAATGAAACACTAGTAACTCAATGGCAACCTGTATGGTGCCTTACATTGATCTACGCACTAGCTTAGCTCTTTAGTGAGAATATTACTACAGTTCTGCTAAAAATCCCATGAACCCCACTACCTCCATCAAAACAAATAAGTCTGTATTTGCTGCATATAGCAATTTTATTTTTCTGAAGTAAGATATAACAGTTAGAATTGGAGTAAAATGGCAGTATACAGCAAATGCACGCGGTAAGTGTCTTCGTCGATCAACTGAAATAGAGAGTACGGATTTGAGCTTAACAGGCTTATTTAGAAAGACTATTGTCTAATTTGAACTTTCTGCGTGAGAAATTTATGCTGGAACTACGAATAATGTATTAATCTAGTCTCCCAGCGCGTACGAAGCACTCAAACTGGAAGATAGTTGTCCAAAAATAATTCGAATATAAAGGTGAGAATTTGCAGATACTTTTCATCGTAAGGGTGAACATATTAGGTACCGGTTGACATCATGTCGTAAAAAAACACAAATTTGCGAGTGGTGAAATATGATCTATGAAAAAGTGAGCTTAATGACAGTTAATTACCGTTTTGCTCCCTGATCATGACCCTTCGGCTTCCTTTTATGGCTAAAACAGCAAACAGACAGTACACACTGATAGTAGATTTCCGGCTTTGTAATGTTAAGCTTGCTTTAACACACGACGTAATGAATAGAACCCCTCTGTTACTGCTATATGGCATATTTTTTATTACAAACCCTCTTCAATAGATTGGTAGCATCTGTAACTTCGTCTATGGTTATCGGAAGTCTGAGTCCTTTTGAAAACTATACTAATATCCCCTACTGCTTGGCACTCGGTATTAGTTTGACTCGTTGGTGGGATAGTGTTGTCCATAGTACTAAAGAAAATTGAAAACCGGAGATTGTATCCTTTCATTTTGCCAATAACATCATAAAGGACAGTTAAGAACAAACATGCGGGCAGTTAGTCACAGGTGGCAGCAACAATTATTCTAGCTAAAAAAACGAGCTTCGGCTTTGGATATTTAGAAAACAAGTCAAAACAGAACCGATAAGACTAGCCAGCTTGGCTAAAGAAATACACTGACTTCAGTAGCAGCAACCACAACCCAGCAAACAAATCAAAATGAGGGAAAATTTTCCTCCAACATTCAAAGTATTACATTAACTTCTGCATTTTAGCACACTGAAACATTAAATTTTGTAGCTACACGAAAGAAATAGCTGAAAAAAGCACGAACGAAAAAAGCCAACAGCCAATGCTTACAAAGATGGAGGATATAATAATTCCCACCTCATTCTGATTGGTTGCTAAGCTGAATGCCACATTTACGAAATTGAATTGCATTTAAAAGCAACAGTCTGGACAACACTTTGAAGTGTTTGCTTAAGTCTGGTGAAAGAGGGAAATAAGTAAAAACGGATGGACAACTCTGAGTATACACGGAATATTTAACCCCTTGATAACAACTAATCATAATTCTAGTTGTTTTAAATTTTTCTGAACGGAATAGAAGCTTTCGCTTAATGAGCTTCCGTATCTAGCAGCAGTAGATCACCGATGCTCCCAGATAGAAACCTAGGTATAGTTAACGATAAAAGAGAAAAATATAAGTAGATAATAGTGCTATGCTTCTCTTACTCCTGAAAAAATGTGTTAAGTCTCCTCTTAAAGGACTCCTGATAAGAACTACCTCACTCGACGGTGAATTCTGGGATTGGACTATTCGCAAAGAGTCAAAAGTGTCCCTACGGTCAACTCTGCTACGTTATGTCTCCAATTTCTGAGTGGTACTCCTAAGGTTTGTGTTGGGGATTAGCTTATGTAGTTTGTAGTGGCCCGTGGATATGACTCCAATTAGATCGTATGAATGTTTGTTATCGCCTATCCTCGTATATAATCGTCGACTTAAATCACCTTAGTCAATAACGGAGATGGCAGGTAAGCCATCTCTCCATTTAACTAAACGTTAATCAATATTCATAGTTACACAAAAGTAAGTTACAGACATGTGATGAGTAATCGGATAAGAAATGTACACACACCTACGCGCTCATATAAAAACAGTCAAGATTGATAAGTGAATAAATAACAAGGTCAGAATGTGACTCAAGTAGAATGAATGAAATGGTCTGTCCGAAACCTAGAATAAGGTATATGAGCTTAACACAATAGCCGGCACTACAAGTTATTTAAGGGGATACCCATGAATGTTTAAGATAATATAGTTCATCAGAAGTTCACCTTTGCGATGCCTATATTACAATGAGTAAGGTTTCAATGATTTAAGGCGCTCTTCATAGGGCCTGGATTTAAGTCACGGGACTGACTTGGTGACTCGTATCCAAATGTGCTCTTATTCTCTTGGGGTTAGGGATGAAACGCTATGTTTCCAAGCTCGATATGGGGTACAAATCAAGAAAATCTGGTCATTGCTGCCAGCGTATGATAAAGTGAAATACACTAGTGTAAACTGATTGGTCTGTTCTCACTAGCATCATGAAGTCAGTGAGAAGTATGAGGTATTTTACAGCATTCAGTAAGCTTTATTTACCCCTTGGGTTAAAACTGTTCCGATGAAATCGACAGTTATCCAGAGATTTCTGGGTCTAGAGAGTAAGTGATTGAATTTTTCTCACAGAAGTAAGCTTATCGAGATCAGAAGATGTACCATAACTGGATAGTAGTTTTGTTGAGTATGTTAAAAGTTGTGAGGAGGAAACTATTGAGATTAAGTGGACTGAAAAGAAACAGGTCGCAATGAATAAAGTAGCAAACAAACGG